CCTACACATTTCTAGCGAGGTTCTGCTTGGTGCTAGACTGTATTATCTACACTGCCCTCAATGTAAGAAGAAAACTATTTTTTCGAATGCAACATGTAAACAGAGACTGGAAATCTTTTCAGTAATTTTACCAGTAAGTGGGTTGTGATTTAGCTGCACTCCTTAGCATTTCCAGTCAGATACTGCTTGGTGCTTGACTATATTATCTATACTGCCCTTAATCTCAGTAATGAAATAAAACATAGTTACTTTAATATCCGTCAATATTCAGTTTTAATGACCCTCAGAAGGATTATTGTCCAAGGCACATTATATTTCCCATTTTGGGTTATTATAACTGAATATTGACATTCAGTAACTATTTGTTAAAAGTTAGATTGTTTGTGTTCATTTACACCAAGTGTATTTAAATTCAAAAATTTCAATAATGAAACCTTAGGGACAACATCAAAAGTTCAATGTAGGATAAAAAACTTAATTCCTTTCGTTTTTTCCCCTACCCCCCACTGAAACTTAATTGATAAATATTGACCATGGCGTCAGACTAAATACATTAAATACAAATTGATAATCGGACAGTAGTATGGCATAGCAGTTGGTTGTCAGGGGGTGGGGGATGTAAACAAACTTTACACTCGAGCCAAACCATTTTTTTGTATTGGATGTGTTTTTTTCATTTTCTGTTATTTTTGTTCATGATTGGATAGAAAAAAAAACGAACTACAAATACTACAAGATTTTTTTGACTTCATTAAGAAATAAAATCGTTTTTGTAGGATGGAAACTTGTTGAGGTCAAAACCCCCCACCCCCAAACTAAGGCAAATAAGTTTTTTATCTGACATCGATCTTTTGACGTTGTCCCTTACTAGTACTGGGTAATGTGCATAAAAGAGACCTTGTTCCAGAGAATAATTTCCTTGAAACTCTTTAATAAAGATTAAATGAAATGTACGCTTGGCAAAATCAAGTATGCTCTCAACAATATATGAACTGTACACAAGTATTATTGTTAGAAATTATATAAGCAGGTATTAAAAATGAATAAAATATCTCTCCTTATGACAACAAATTTTCTGAAAATTATTGCAACCCTAAATTCACATTGTTGGGTCTACGAATGTTTTGATTGGTATATACCGTACTTGTTCTATTAGAAGTGCATATAAAACAAAAATTATATTACAGTATACTGGAAGATCAATATACTACGAGGTTATTACGAGGATACCTCAAAGTATGCACAAAGACAGTACAGCTGTATCTACCAAAGGGCAGTGGAGGTCGATGCACGGCGTACTGTATGAGTGCATACTTTGAGGTATTCTCTTAATAACCTTATTATACATCTTTTCCTTTCAAGGATACATCATGGGAATGCCGAAATCTAACAAGTTTAGAACAGAATCAGCGAACTTCTTTGTGTGGAGTCTGGTCAAACTCTGATGGCAACCATGTTTGTTTTTAATTATTAGAGGACGCTTACGCACGTAATCATTTCGTATTTGGAATTTGCATTTCCTTATATGGTAGGATGAAAATACATGTACCCGTAAAATACCGCAAAATTATGGCACGTTGTAACTTACGGCATTACGGTGACAGATGTATAATAATAGTATGCAAGTACATGCAGTACTAATAGAGAAGATATGGTATTGTTCTGGGAAATTGAACAGCAAAAAACAGTTTCATTTCATCAAAAATGGTGGACTTTTGTTTATGAATAATGAAGGTAAACATGCAGAGACGTAGCATTACATTTAATCCGCACAAATAAAGTTAAAGCAAGAATATAACCGGAAAACGTACAGTAAATTTTATTGAATTTACTAGACATAATTATTTGCCACAATATAAAACACAGATGTATAGTTTTTCTCAATTACCAGTGTTTGAACAGCATTATTAGACTTGCTTGCAGTCTGTTGCGTTTCCGATGAAAAATTCTGGAATAATAAATATAAATTGCGTAAACGAGGGATGAAAGCGAAAGTCATGCGACCGCCAAATCCCAACAGACTTGCCATCAGTGTAAGCACCCTCACATTACCGACCAAAAGCATTATATAAAGCTTTTATAAAGTTTGTATTTACTGCAATGTACTAATTGGATATTTTGTAAACTCCTGGGTTTTTCTGTTAAATGGGAATGTTATATTTAATATTTATGCATTAGACAGGGACAGATGAAAATAAAAATTTATTATGGGGGGGGGGGGTCCCAATCAAAAATTGGTATCTGGTGGTTTCCTACAGATTTGCATAACATTTTGCAGTCATTTAAGACAATCAAAGAGTTGAAAGAAGGGTATGCAATATATGTGATGGAGATTTCAATATGAAGTTGTGTGGTGATTTTCAGTTCACGATTATCTCGCAGAATATTTGAAAGGTACAGACGGAACGATAAACGTAACTCGCAAGATCATCTTCATTGCATATTAAATTTAATAAAGTAACTTTATAACTACTGACCTACATATACACATTGTATAAACAATTTCTCTTAGGCCCTTAAGCTAGAGGGTCGTCACCTGCGCACGCACGGGAATTGAGGCGCACATGCGGGAATTGAGTCCTTTCGACGATAACAACATAATGCTAAAAATGCAAAGGCTCATGGGTAGACACTTGTTTGTAAATAAAGACACACTATGCCATCTGATGCATGCGCTGGTCACGACTCCCCCCGCTTTAAACAGTGAGACATTCAATCACACTAAAATTTTATCAATCATGAAATAGCCCTGGATGGGGTGGGGGGTCTCTCTGAATAAAATATGGTACGCAAGCCGAAGTAAAAAAAATGTGTAAGAGGGGTGTTATTTAGTTATTTGACGCGTGTACCATGTTTAGGGTGGGAAATTGTTATGATAGCTTGCTTGTAAATCCTATTGCAACTTGAAACAGGATGTAACTTATAATATAGTAATAAAGTGTTAAAAAAGGAATCTTGTGAATGCATGTTACCTCAACTTGAAAACAGTATGATTTTAGTATGTATAAAGGGTATCTATTTTAAGTTTCTGCACTTGAAAAGGGGTATAATTTCACAACAACAAGTACGTGTTTGTAGGCTTTTTTGAAAAGCTATACCGGTACTTCAGCAAGGGTACCAGGTCTGACTTGGACCCCCCCCCCCCCAAACTGAGAAGAACTGTGTACATCATCCATACAAATAATTTTACTTTTCACTTACTATTATTCAAATGAGTGGACGTTTATTGCATGGACCTACTTTGTGGAAGGATACAACAGTTAATAATGTAGGTAAAAGGGTTACACAAGTAAACAGGTCATTCAAAACCCACAGCTTTGAAACCTGTATGATACAGAGCATAGAAACCACATCACATGTGCTACATATGCCATACAAGTCAAAGTCTGAGATATTTTCCAAATCCTGTACCTCAGACCACAACTTAAAGAAAAGCACCAAGATTACATATGTAAATGCTAACATATTTACAGTAGTTTCACCAAAAAATTTCAAACAAATTACACAATATCATTGTTACTAATAAATGTATAAAAACTGATTCCATAATTTTTTCAAAACTCATTTGAGAAATATGACCAATGTTGTGCAGCTATGATTACACATTTGTGATTGGCTCTTCGCAATTTGAATTTCAATCATAATAATGGCTTCCTGACGATGGAACTTTATTTAGAACAAGAACAATGCATTTGACTGTATATTGCTTTAATTTCGTGAGAGACGAATTTTTCGCAAGTCGGTGAAAATTGTTCTGGAGTTACATGTCATGGAGTGTCAGCAACCTTTGCGAAATGTTGTCTTCATAGACGCCATGACAAATTGAAAGAATTAAGCAGTTAACAGTTGTTACTGCAATTATTATCATCATTATTATCATCATTATTATTATTACAAAACACATTTTGCAGAATATACATACAAAATCCAAAGTTTTTAAATTGATAATAATTTGTCTTACCTACGAGCATTACAAACATTGACACTGTTATTAATATTTCTATAAAAAGTATAAAAAACATAACTGCTATATCATGAATAACAATATCAGTTATACGTATGTACAAGCAAGAAATCATTATAATTCACTTTCCTTATAAAATCAGCTAATTATAATAATAAATTTTTTATTAAAATAAAAATACTATCATTTTCAAAATATTTGTCAACCAACTGTCAAAGAACTGTGTTATTTAGGATAAATGACCTCAAATCCAAGGCTG